AGAGTGCCGAAGTTGGCGGCCAGCTTGAGCTCACCTTTCAGCTCCGACCTGCCTGGGCTGAGCCTTGAGGCTGAAGTGTCCACAGGTGCTTTGGGCTTGTGCAGCGCAGCCTCTGTGGCGTGGGAGGTTGCTGGGTGTGAGGGCGGGGAGCTGCTGAGCACATCAACCGTGCGTGCGGCACCTCTTCTGGTGCTGAAATCCTGAAGGTACTGCTTTGCCTGGGACACATCAATGAGGTTTCCAATAAGATAAAGCTGCTTCTCATCCTCATGGCAGAGCAACTGGGGATACAGTTTCTGCATCTCACGTGTCAGACCCCTGAGTGCCTGGCTGTCCATATCCAGTCCTCTCTTGGTGATCTTCTCCTTGCGCAAGCTCACCTCCAGCTGCTGGTAGAGCTGCTGCAGGGCCAGGCGGGCCTGTCGCAAGGCGTCCATGTCCCCAGACATACCTGCAGATGGTTGGAGGTACAGTATGGCAATGCCATCACTGCTCACATCCACCACGTCCACACCATGCTGGCGTAGCACACCTTGGTACTTGGCAGCACAGAACCTCTGCATGTACAGGTAAATGTCTGAGTCCATCACTAGGGAAAAGTCCTCCAGCTGTTCCACAGCTTCCCCGTCCACTGGGCCCCGAGGTGATGGGACTTTAGCCGCTTTGTCACACTCCTGGTGCCAACTCGGCAGCTTTGCTGTCCCTTGTGCTGACTCAGTGGAGTCAGGCATTTGCTGGTGATCACGCATTCTGGTCTCTTCAGCCCCATGGCTGGAACCCGGCAAGAGGATCTCTCCAACGTCTTCACTCTTGAGGTTCAGGCTGCTCAGCAGGTCTCTGCTGAAGGCCTGCAGCTCAGTGAACGGTCCCTTGACTATGCAGTGTGTGTTCTTGGAGTCGAAGTTGAACTGCACATTGCTGTAGCTTTTATGCAAGTTCCTCAGGAGGGTTTTGCCAGCAGGAAGATTACCATAGTCAACTATCACGCACGCACGTATGAAGATCTGCAAGTAGATAGCAAGGGAGTGAGAGAGCAAGGACAAAAAACAACCCCTCTCCAAGGCACAGAGGGAGGCAAATGCACCTGACACAGCGCCTGCAATATTATGACAGAAAAGACGACGTGATCTACCACCTCCCTCTCTCAGCATCCTGCTTTCAAATGAGATGGGAGCATAACACGGGCAGGACTGAAAGACCCAGCCAGCCCAAACTGTTCTTGGACACTGCACGCATAGTCAAAAGCTTTCTGGAAACACAGAATGCGAGGGGCAAATCGCACAGAGTTGTGGCCCCATTTCTACACGCTGGGAGCTCTGCAAACAGCCCAAACCCAAGAAACCCACTATCCCTTCTGCATCTGAAGCGCAGTTGCCCTCTCACTCTCCCAGAGCTTCAACTGCAGACCTTCAAGCAGTCTGGCACCACAGTCTTGTGGAAAGGTCTGCAACGCCAGGCTGACTGCCATGGCCATCTTTTCAGTGCTCAGACGTAAAAACACGAGACATAGCTGCTGCCATACTCTCTTGAAACTGGAGGAAGAGGTAAGAACTCTCCAGTGCCTCCTAGATGCCAGCACGTCTGTCTCCTAAGCTCTCCTGAGAAGGAGAGAGGAAAAATACACTCTGTGTGTCCAACTAATGACACGGTGTCCAGCTAACAACACGGCAGAGGCATTAACAGGATCTCTCGTGTGTCACCATATGGGCTGGGGAAAAGTACCCCTTCCCCCCAGTCTGACTGTCCTTCCTTGGTTTGACAGGCACAAACACCAAAAACCGAGCACAGGGCCTGCCTGGCTGTCCCTGTGTTATTAGCTCAGAAAAAAAAAATATTCAAATAACGAATAATAACGGATTTGCTTTAAGTCTAATTAAGATTAAAGGAGACAGTGCGGTCCCCTTCCCGAGCATGCCGGCCAGGCGCAGAGCGGCTCCAGGAGCCAGCTGGGGCTGTCACGGCCGCACAGGCAGGAGCCATCTGCTCCTGGCTACCTCAT